AAAGTATTTAAGATGCATGGGATTTACGTAATAGTAAGTGAAGGTTAACCAGCATTTAATATGCACAGTAATTCAAATGAGCATAATTATGTACATCTAATCTCAGTATAGGCAAGTTTTTAAACTTTGATCCAACTTAGAATGTGGGGGACTTGAAAATTGTATTAGATTACATAATTTAGGAAAATTTTGAAAGTAATTATTAAAAGGGAGACAAATAAAGCAAGTCTACTCTGTTACCGCAAACTTCAACTGAGCCTTTCAAACTTCCTGTTTGTTCAGCAACATCTCCATTTAAGTCGTTGGATTCTCCATTTTCACTTGAATAAACCTCTGAACGCAAATTCATGATAAACTCGCTAGATACCTGATTTCAAGAATCAAATGTGGACACAGAGCTACAGGTTCCATGAAAATATTGTTAATCAGATAGATTATAGACTACTCAAAGGCAGAAGGGATTAAATGTCGGGAGCAGACATTACCTAGAAATGTATAAATTTTGAAAAGCATAAGGCATGTTGTGTATCATTAAGATAGCCATTAGGATTTCAATTCCAATTAAGACAAAGAATTCATCATGTCTTCTAGTACAGTAGTAGTCGTTGACAGTAAGTTATATTAACCAAGGAAAACAGGTGGAATTTTCTTCCAAAAATAACTTTCCATACTATATCTAGCTCAGATAAGGTAATAGGAGGCTTCACAAGTCATAATCAAATTTTGAGTTTTCGGTTAGATCAGCTTGTGTGGAATTATTGAATGAGCATGTCAAAAACAGAGTAAACCGGAAATGCTCAATATGAGGGAGTAATAAAAATGATTATCATTTTCGACCATCTGGCTGGAGACATGTCTTCCAAATGACAAAAATAACTAACTAGATCTCGTAACTAGCTAACCTTTACCGCTTTGATGAGTTGAATCAGAGGCATGCCAATCTTCTCAAAATTTAGTCGAAGCATCAAAAAAACCCAAATATTTCTTTTTCTTTCAATAGGCATTTAGCATGTCTCATAGCCTCAGTTAGACAACCACTAGTGACCCAACTATCACAATGAAAAGGTTGAAATTCACCGCTATATATGGTGACATGATAGAAAAGAATAAAAACTTTCAGTAGCAAATTACCCAAATACTACCAACCTAAATCACAAACTAATCCCATTACCTAAAAAGCTAAATATTCTAAGAAACAATAGCTCTACTTTATGCCGCATCCGCATGCGTAGTATACAAGCAATTACGTTCAGTTAATTGAAGACTTCTATATTGAGACATATAGCTCGGAATGACTGCCAATCCGGTGCACAAGAAGAGGCACATTTGGAGCTTTACAAAATTAGAGCCAAAATTTACAAAATCTGGAGTACTATGACCTCCAGTAGAAGCAATTGAGCTAGTAAATATGTAATTTGCTCAAAATGAATGCAATTACACTGAATTTATAGGCACATTTGAAAATTTAGCAACTTTTAAAAAGGAAATTTAGGTAATTTTGGAGTTCCCACACCTGTCAAACAAAAATTCAAACCAACGTGAACCAAATGAACCTCAAAATAAAGATTTACAAGCATTTGCGAAGCAGATCCGCATAAATCCACAGAAAAGCACATATAATGGAGCAAATGTGGGTAAAAGTACGCACCTGATGGTACCGAAATGTAAAGAGATCTTTGTGAGAAAAAAAGGTTTTTGGAACGAACAGATCCAGAAATTTATGGGAGTTTTGTGATATTTTACCTACCGATAAATACTTTTTCCCAAACTGTTTCTTCCTGTTTTCTGAAAACGAAAACGAGAAAACAGCTTGGGTACCCGATTTAGTGAGGTGAGAGAAAGCGGGACAACGACGACAAGGCCTATATCTCAGGGATTGCTGGGTTTTGGGGGACGTTAGCGTTTCCTTTTTGCGTTTGAGTTTTCGCTTTTGAATTTTTTTTTTTTAAAGTAACCCGATTATATTTCGGAAATTGTATTTGTGACCCCACACACTAATTTTGGACTCCAATTCCCGCCTTCTGCCACATGTTTTGTTTTGGGACTTTTGAGTGCGATTGAAGGCGTGGTCCCACTGGGCCGGCTTTTTGAAGTTTCCCCCACACCCTTAAAATAAACAAAACAAAACAAAAAAAAACACTTTGTATATCACTTTGTACTTTTCTGCAATAACTAGTCCGGCATCTCGAACGGCAATGATCGAAGAAAAATATACTTTGACCTTAATATTTTATATTAGCAATATTTAATTTGGCAATACTTCTAGAAATATTTAATTTGGCAATACTTATATTAGCAATATTAAATATTAAAATATTTAATATTTTAATATTTTATATTAGCAATACTTTGACCTTACTATAATATTAAAAATCAAACATTTGATTATACAACATTTATATTTGGGATAAATACAAAAAAGAATTATATATATTTTGGGTCATTTGCACGTGACCTCGTCGTAATTTAACGATTGCACTAAACTCCACCTCAACTTAAAAACAAATTATAGCGCTGAATATCTATTATAAAAATTATAAAAATACCCTCATTTAGTCGTTTAATTTTTATTTCAATACACTTTTTTGTAGCTAAAATAAGATTGATGATTAAGTCGAACTTATTTTTTTAAATGAGCCAAAAAATTTGTTCAATATTGGCTCGTTTAGAAAATGAGTAGAGCCGAAAATGAGCCAAGTCCGAATAATTTGACTATTTTACATATAAACGAACTAAACTTTGTGAGTTTAAATCAAATTTTTTAAAACACGAATCTAAAAAAATATTTAAACTCGATTCGTCTAAAACACAAGTCAAACTCAAATCAAGTCTTATACGAACCAAATATAAATCAACTTAATTATCAGTTCTAACCTCAATTCCTTCTCTCTCTATACTTTTTTATCCCCCTCCATCTCTGCAAACCCTCTCTCCTTTCCTCGTCCAAAACCACCCATCGAAACTCTCCCACCTCAACCATCTCTCTCTATACTTTTTCGTACCTCTCCCACCCTATGAAACTTTTCCACTACATCAAAATTTTTTTTACATTAGATAATTTAAAATTAAAATAAATAGATAAAAAATAAAAGAGGTAAGAAAAGAGAAAAAAATAGGTATAAGTGGATTAGTGTGATTGTTTGACATTAAAGAGTATATTGATTGAATTGTCTGATATTAAAAATCGTAAAGAGAAAATTATATTTTGAGGAAAAAACAAGTAGGGATGAATTTTATAACATTAAAAAAATATATGAAAATTAAATCGAACTTAATCGTTATTATATTTTTATAAATTAATGATTTATCATGAGAAATATAATATTATAATGTAAATTCCCTAACATTAACATCAAACACTAAATCAATGGCGGTAAAACTCACCACCAGATAATAAGTTGCTCGCCTCACTTGCTCACTTATTTTATTTAGGGTAAATTTCACTACTACCATTAGATTTAAGTTATGTTTCACACATATTCCTTATGATCTAAAATATTACTGTACGTCTATATAGTTTATATATATGTTTCACAAAACTACCCGAGTTATCTAATGTTGTTATTGACAAGTAAAAAATGTGTGATATGATGACTTATTTATATAATAAAATAGTTTATAATTCAAATCTCAAAAAATAAATTAAATGACTTTTGCTATTCGCGGTTAAGATCATTTTAAATTTTATTTTAAAGTTAATATAATGGTTAATATTAATACCTTAAATTTAATAGAAAAAATAGACCTTAAGGGTGTGTTTGAAATCACTTTTTAAAAGTACTTTTATAAATTATTTTTCGTAAATACTTTAAAAAAAAAATAGTGTTTGAAATTGTTCCACCACCACCTCTACCATCACCATTGTCGCTGCCACCACCACTACCGCCGTCGTCGCCACACCCGTCGCCACCATTGCCACTCCCGCCATCATCGTCACCCTCACCATCGCCAGAACCACCACCACCCCCCAACGTCACTGCCATCACCACTATCACCGTCACCGCCGTCACCCCCACCATCACCACCACCACCGCCATTGTCGTCGCCACCGCTACCACCACCATCCTCGCCGTCACCACGGTTATTGCTACCCACCACAACCATCACAGTCTCCTACCATCACCATTGTCACCCACCACGTCTTACCCTCACTACAAATCGATACTTAAATTATTTCATCAATTCTCTATATTTATAATTTGATTTTAGATATAAATATAAATACAAATATATTTATTGTTTACCATTTTTTATTACTCTGTACCTTCAGACACAGACAATAACTAGTTCTTTTATAAGTTGTCAAATTTATCATTGGTCTTAAAATAATAGGAACACATATTTTGTAGTATTAATGTAATTAAATTAAATATTAATTGAATTGAACAAAATGTTTCCTATAAAAAAAAGAAAAAATATTATATTCAAAAAATTGAATGATCATTTGATAAGATTGAATGTTATTTTGAAATTCAATAAAAAAAATTGATGTTAATTTGATAAATTGGATGTTAAATTGATGAAATTAAATGTCAATTTGGGTTTAATTTGATGAAATTGAATATTTATTTAGTGTTAATTATATAAAATTGAATATTGATTTTCTAAGATTGAATATTAGTTTGCTGACATAAAATGATAATTTTATAAAATTTAAGATCAATTTTACATTAATTTGGTTAATAATGGTAATATCAGGGTAAAATTGAATAATACTCTTGTAAAATGAGAGTTCTAGTAAGGGTAATTTAGTAAAATTATGTATTCGGTTATGTCACACAAATTGATATCGGTGTGCAGTGATAATTAGATGGAGTATTAGTAAAATATGACTTAAATAAAAGGGGTGTTAGTGAAATTTGCCCTTTGATTTATTGTCGGTCAATAGTTACAGAGTTAAGTTGAGTTTGAAAGTGAGGCCTAAGAAAAAAATGGAAGGAGAACGAGAAGCAGAAGAATCTAATCTCGATTCAAAAGCTAAGCTAGAAGCCCTAATTTCAGATACGGAAGCCAATAATATAGTAACACATCAAATGAATTCCCAAGAGCGAGAAGAAGAAGATGATGATTCTCGTGGTGGCGAATCGAAAGTGGCATCGTTTGACCAGAAGGATATAATGAAAGCGCTGGAAGTGGTGGAGAGAGACTCGGTGGCGATCGCCGAGAGCTTCACTTCTTTGTTCACGTCTCTCCGTCTCGCCCTCTCTGAGGTCTGTTTGGCTATCCACATGCTCAATTCCTACAAAAAAATTTTATTTATTTTTTGTTAATTTTGGACATGATGATAGAAATTATTATTGTTATTTGATGCATATATTGGAAAATGAACGCCTTAAACGTCTCTGATTGCTTCCATTGAATTTATTTTGCTGTAAACGAATGTTGGAGTGTTAATTTGGGCTGCATTTTGTTTAAGAAGAAATATGAACTGAACTCTGCGGTAATAATAGATTGTTTTCTTTGATTTGAAATTCGAAGCAAAATTCATTTCTCTCCCCACCATTCTCAGCACTGTTTCTGAAGCAAAATTCATTTTTCTATACACCAATCTCAATACTGTTATCAGAAACCATTTTTTTTGGTTTGAATTGCGTGTGAAAATTCAGTGTTTTGGACATGGTTTATGCGATTATGGGAAAAAGACTTGGGAGGTTAGTATATGGGATATAATGCAGGATGGTTGATCAGGTAGTTCACACTCTTAAATTTATAGGTTAATATGATTTGCTTTTAGAAATGGAAATCAGTAAGCAATATGTGTAGTGAAGTAACTATTTTTTTTACAATGGTTTATTGGTGTGGTTTTACTCTCGTCAGGCACACACGACTGGCAATTTTATGCCCATTTTTGTTAATCACTCGGTGGGATTAATGATACCCTAATCAAAGTGCTAAACAATGGATTTAAGTTGACCATAACACTAATATTATTTTCTAGGACTAAATTGGATCTCTAGATGTCATATGGTTGAGTTCTTTCATATTCAATTGTCAATCTAAGGAGAGAATGTGATTTTGTAGGTCACTAGCACTTCAGTAGATCATATGGCTTGCTTCAGTGATGCTGCTGGCCGCCTTCAAGAATGTGGTGAGTGAACTATCCTTGTGCATATCGTGCTTCAATAGTTTGTTCAACAACTCACATGATGGTTATTAGGATTGAGTTTGTCGACTCTCACGTGCTGAAGAAAATAGGATAGCCACCTGCTTGTCATAGTTATCCTCTCGATTGGTTGCATTCAGTGTGACAATGACTCTTGTTGTGATAGCAAGCACAGTCTGACTGACACACTGCTTGGTAGGGGGAAAGAGCAGGGAAGAGAAAGGAATATCTTTAGCCCTAAGAAAAGAAAAGGGAAAGAAGTTAAATTTCCATTGGTTTTGATTATTTGGTTTGCTAATGAAGCAAGATAAGAGGTAGGACATGGACTTCTTACTCTTAATTTATTTTTTGTGTTTTCAAAAATCACATCCCTTCCCATCAAATATATCACTTTAAAGTAGGTGAGATTTGCAGAGAATTTAGTAGGGAAGTAAGGCATGACAATGTTAGACTGGCTCCTGAATGGATGGCCTTTGTTTCTTCTCTGCTGCCTCATTGAAGGCCTGTTTAGCAATGAAATACTCCTTTTTCTCTTCCTAAAGGTAAAGTGAAGGAGGGAATTGAGCTGGAAATCATCCTAGCTTGTTAGACAAAGAACAAATGAACGGATATGGTAGTGGAACCCTGGTTGATTGGATTAAACATCCGTGGAAATTTTCGAAATTTAGAATCTATGTGCTAAAAGTTAACATGATTCGAGGCAGTCAAAGGAATTATTATTGCTTTACCTTTGCCTTGTTTGAAGGAAATAGTTGCAACAATTTATTGTGTTATTTTGCATCATTGTTTTTAATACTGGGAGTCAACAATCTACTTCCTGCTTGTACATATATGTACTTTGTTTGGTGGTGTTGCCATTTTGAATATACTAAGAACTTAGGAATCTCAAAGAATAATTTTACCGAATTTTGGGTCTGTGCGTAGGTTGTTTGAGAATTTAATCATTCACCTTGACCTCTACTCCATGGCTGCAGAGGCCTTATGCCATGACTAGTGTGCTACCTTTTAACAAATTGATCATACTAACCCATGTAGAAAAGCTAGTGTTATAGCATGCCAAATGCTTTGGGGATACTTTGCTTTAATTTTTATTTTTCCACTAGTTTAGTTTCATTTTCTTATCATTTGTTTTTTTGAGGCTTTGACCTGGTGCATTGATTTTGGGGCTTATGTGATTTTTCTCTTTTTTATTGTGTTGTCTTGCAGCTCTTGATGCAGCAACAAAAGGGAATCGATATATAAACTCCTGTCTCAGGTATACTTTCTGATTTTCACCTTCACCAAAATGAGAAACAATGATGCTTTATAGTAGGCAATTCAGGGTCTCAGTGACCTGGAATCAGATCCAGGACAGGGAGTTTATACTTGCAAATGTGAGCTTTTTCTTGTGGATGACATGTTTTTCGACCACTTTTCCATTTCATTCTCATCTCACTAAATATTTTCTTTTTTTTACTTATAGGTTATTTTGCAGTCTTTTTTCTACAGCATGCTAGGGTTTTGCTTATTCTTATTTTCGGGATTGATTTGTTGCAGATTAAATGAAGAAATGAAAAGCATTGACAGTTTAGCCACACAGCTGTATCCTTTCTTTCTTTCATAGTTGACTTAGGCTCTTTTTTGCTTATGGTTATGTGTGCATTTGTTTGTGTGTTAGATGGGGGTTAAGATTTCCTCTCTGCCTAAATAGTGTTGCACTTGGCTCCTTGAATTTTTTCTAATATTTGAAGTTCCAGTTCCACTTAATGGGTGCTGGCAGCTAGGTGGTAGGTGGCACCCGTGGAGCTTCATCAGATTGCCGACCAAAGTTTTCAAAATCATAATATATCATTAAATTGAAATGATTTCAAAACTTTTTTATAGTTTGAAGCAATATTTCCTGTTAGAATGCTTTTTCTTTACTCCATTAATGCTTGTGAAGGAAGGTGTTGAGAAGGAATGTAGACGCTTTGGACTCAGGCATCAGCAAGCTCCTTCGTCTTACATGATGTTGATCAGCTTGGCATATTGATATTGTCAGTCATGAAGACTTCTATGTCAATGTAAGTTATTTATGCAGGTTTTGCTTGGGATTTTCTGCAGGGTTATTCGAGAATTTCACCGTTCTTTTTCTAAGGTGCTATTCACTTAGAAAAACTTCATGTGATGTGAATGGCTGGCTGGAAATTACGACGATGTGTTTTCCCTTTTTTGCTTGAAGGGTGAAGGCACGGATTTTAAAAGAATTTTTGTACGCTTTTTATTTCATGCAGAAGCATTCTTTTACTTGTTACTGAATGATACGGCAATGTAACTATTACTAGTGTCCTAGTAAGCAAAGAATTGATCCCTTGAACTTGAATTCATGTTTGCTTCAGTGTTTGTGCAATCGTTATCTCCGAGTGAATTATTTAAATACGTGACTAGCAGCTAATGAGGCAGGCCATTGGTGATATATACTTTTCAAACCAATTTTAATACTTCAACGTACTGATTAAGGTGTTCTTATTATTTGTGACATTGATGCAATGGCCCGGCTGGGCTTGTGTCGCAATGCTCATGTTTTTTCTTGTGGCCCAATGGGTATGTCCATGGTCTTGGTTTGGGCTTCCTAGGCCTGACAAATTGATCCATTTAAAACCCAGAAGGCAGCCCATGGGATAATTTTTATACTGGGCCAGTGGCCCAACTGTAAAAAATTAAACTAGCCCTAACTGGAAAAAAAAAACAAAATTTTTTAAAAAAAATATAGGCCCATTGGGATTGACATGATTGGCAACATGCGACCTGTAGATCTTATAGTACAGCTGTTCAGCCTGTGCTACGCCATGGGCTGTTGGCTGGCGGGCTTCGTAGACCTGGGCCTTAGCTATAGCCATCTGAGCTATTCTCACTGTGTTGGGTTGGCACAATAACAACCCTACTGTTGTATGCAACCTTCATCCTTGGGTGACATTAGGATTATATTTCCCAAGGCTTTCGAGTTCTTGTATGCTCAAGCTCGGTTCAAGTTTGGTATCATTCGCTTCAACTCAGTTGGCTAAGTATTAGCTCGCCTCGGATCGTTTTTGTTGTATAAACTTAAATTGGAGCCATCCTTGGGATGAAAGAAAGTTTGTTAAGGAAAATGGTTGTAAAAAGTAATTTTCTCTGAAGATAGGTTTCTAAATTCTTGAATATTCTTTATTTCAAAGCTCATATACCAATGTCCCATCAACCTCATGTGTGCTTCATAAAGTATATTAATATAAGTACGTTGATAATTGTTTAAAATTCCATTTCCATTCCCAATTTAATATTCCTGATAAACCAGACACATTTGTACAATGTGCTAAAGTATCTTTGCCATGATCAATATTATAATAATGTCGTTTGTCTAATCTAAACATTATTTGAATATTAATAAACCCTCAAATATAGATCAAAAACCCTACCAAACATGCCATAAAGATGGATTTTTTTTAATAATTCTATAATGAATTAAAAAATAAATTTGATTATGACATTTGGGGACCTTATACTTGTTTATAAGGAAAATAAGATTTTAAAAGAAACCAAGAAACATCCTAATGAAAGCAACCATTAGGTTGATTTCCATGAGTTATGTTATTAATTAATAAAAAAATAATGAATGTTTTTAATAATTAATTTCAACTTCTTTTATTGTATAAGCATTCATTTTCTACCTTACTTGCTAAAACTCGTCAGTAGGAAATAGTTGGAATCCACATAGGGGAGAGAGAGAGAGAGAGAGAGAGAGAGAATTAGGGGCTTATTAGGTGATTAGTCTTAATCCAACCATAGTGAAGAGGGTTTGCATTCTCTTTTTTAAAATTTTTAAATATTCACAAGCAAACTCCATTGTCAAACCTTGGAATTGATATTATGCAAAATTATTCTAAAATAGATTTCGTGAGAAAAACCTTGGAATTGATTTAGATTTCTATTTTTAATGTTTTTAATCACATTAAATATTTTAAATATACTTATATTTAAGTATAGTTACTTTAATCAAAATAAGTATTTTGAATCACAATTCAAAGAATAAAAAAACTGGCTTTGCAGTGGAGTACCTAGTTGCTGAATATGTAGTCAAAATGTTTTTTTTGTTGGACGCTGTTATACAGGGAGAAACAATGAAATTTTAATTGAAGATTTTAAGGCTCAACAATAAACGTAATAATCATTAGATCGACGACTGACTTCACGTAATCAATAATAGGAACAATGTGATTTTATCAATTATTATGTGGTCCGTACAAATAAAAATATATTTATATTTAAATATAGTAACTTTAATGAGAATAAGTATTTAAATCAGGACTCAAATAATGAAAAAGCTTACTTTGCAATGGAGTATCAAGTGGTCAAATATGTAATAATTTTTTGGGTTAATTGTACTATAGGTCTCCAATTTATGCGATTTGTCTTATTTTGGTTCCTAAAGTATTAAATATGTTTATATATGATTCTTTAAGTAGATAGCGTTCAGATTGTTAACGATTTTTTATCATAAACTTGTCACGTAATATCTAAATATGGACAAAAAATAATTTTGATAGCTTTTAAACAAAATTTGGGTAGTTTTTCACCAAAATTTGAATAGCTCATAATCAAAATAGTATAATTTAGATAGATATTTAACCAAAATTTGAGTATAAATTTAGTCAAGAGTTATCTATATTATTTTTTTATTCATATTTGAGTATTACTTAACAAATTTATAATAAAAAAATCGTTACTAATCTGGGCACTGTCTATTTGAAGGATCATATATAAATATATTCAATATTTCAAGGATCAAAATAATATAATTAAAACATTGTGAACTAAAATAAGATAATCTTCATGCTTTGATAATCTCTAATGCATTTAACCCTAATTTTTTTTTGCTGGATACTATTATAGAGGAAGAAATGACGAAATTTTAATTAAAGAGTTTAACTTTATGTAATGAGTAATTGGATTGATTGATGGCTAACGTCATGTAATCAATAATTGGAATGATGTGATTTTATTGATTATTATGTGGTCTCTACAAATAAAAATATATTTATATTCAAATATAGTTACTTTAAGGAGAATAAGTATTTAAATCCCGATTCAAATAATAAAAAAAAACTTACTTTGCAATGGAGTATCTAATTTATAAATATGTAATATTTTTTTTTTCCATTGTTGGATGCCATCTATTATTAGTCGCGGGAGAAATGAGCAAGTTTTAATCAAAGAGTGTTTTAAGGTTGAGGAGTTGGGGGGCCTACTTGGGGGTGGTAATTGAGAACATTTATTGAAAGAGTAATGTTATATAGACTTAAAAGATAAATTTAAAAATTAGAATTAATAATTTTAATCATTAATTTCACTATAGGTCCCAGTATTTATTGAGGTCCACTACTTATTCGATGGTTAAAATTATTAAATTTAATTTTTAAATCAATTTATCAGTACGTCCCTCCAAATATTAATAGTTTTTTGGCACGTCAGAAACGTGGCACAATCTGGTTCGTGCGTTATGTATTTCTTCCCCACATTATTATGTCTGGTGGACGGGCGGGCACTCATGTGACCCACGTGACCCACGTGACCCAGGTCCTTTGAAGAAATCGAACTGTTGAACGATATTTGCTTTATTTCCAACCGTTGCTTTATTTGTGACAGTTGGCAACGTTTTTGTTGTGCGTCGGCGTGGGTTTTGGGTGGGGTGTGTGCCCCGACATCAACGTGAAAAGTAATAGAAAAAATATATATTAATTTTATTGAGATATATTAAGGGACATAATGATTTTTTATCGATGAAATGACACTTCTTATGTCCATAAATTATATCATAATAACTTTATAGCATTAAATGAATTTATTTTTATTTTATTAGTGACAATTCAGTATATCCATAAATTATGTCATAATAACTTTGTAGTATTAAATGAATTTATTTTTATTTTATTGGTGATAACTCAGTATGTCCATAAATTATGTCATAATAACTTTGCTCTAAAAAAAAATCACTGTAACTTTTTTTTTAATTTATATTTAAACTAGTTATTATCCGGACCTGAACCTGAAGGCGAAAAATAATAAAAAAAATAATCGATAATAAACATATTAGTATTCACACTAAAAATCAAATTACAAACATAAGAGAGAGAGAGATAAATGAATTTAATATGGTTGAACGATGGTAATAAAGGTGAGCAGTGGTAATGGGCGATGGGGGGAGACGGTGATGGTTGTGGTGACAACCGTAAGTGACAACGATGATGGTGATGATGAATTTTGAATAATGATGGTAATAGTGACAACTATGAGTGACGAAAATGATAGTGGTGGGACAATGATAATGGTGGTATTAATGGGTTGTAGTGGTGGGCAATGACGATGGTGGTGGTAGGTGACGACAGGTACTTCTGGAAGACAATGTGATTGGTACGGTGACGGTGGTGCTGATAGATATGGTGGGGGTGGGTGATAGTGGTTGTCAACGATGATAGGCGAATATAAATGGTGATGGGTTGTGGTAGTAGGTGGCAGTTGGTAATGGTGGTGGTAGGTGCTGATGATGGGCGACGGTAATGGTGGGATAATGGTAGTAGTGGTAATAAATATAAGAATAAGATGGCGATGATAGTGAGTGGTGGCGGTGAAAAATAGTTGTAGCAATCTGTCGTAGGTGGCAATAGTGGTTGTAACAAAGGTGATGGTGGGGTGGCGACGATAGTGGTGGGGCGATGATGAGGCAATGGTGGTGGGGCGATGATGAGGCAGTGACAGTGGTACTGGTGAAGGTCATAGGGGTGGTGGTGGGCTGATGATGATGATGGTGATGGTGATGATGGGATAGTGGCGGTGGTGGTAAAGTGACAACAACGATGGTGGGGATGGAGTGGGGTGGTAGTAATGGTGGTGGGCACAAATGGAGGTGGTGATGGTAGAAATAATGGTTGTAATGGTGATGATGGTGGTGGCGAGGCGGTGGAGGTGGTGGGGGGTGGTGGAGTGGCGGTGTGTGGTGGTAGTGGTGATGGTCGTGGAAGTGTTGGTGGAGGTAGGGGTAGAGATGGTGGTGGGGTGGCGACCGTGGTGATGGTGATTGTGATGGCAGAGGTGGTGGTGGTGGTGGGGGTAGGGGTGGTAGTGGTGCTGGTGGAGTGGTTCTAAACACTGTTTTTTTTAAAGTACTTATGAGAAATTATAAGTTGTAAAAATATTTTAGAAAGTCATCTCAAGCACACTCTTAGGCCCTTATTTTCCTTATTAAATTTGGGGTGTTAATATTAGCTATTAGATTAACTTTAAAGTAAAATTTAAAAAGAAATCAACAAAAAAAATAAAAGTCATTTTGTTAATTTTTTAAAATTTGAATTGTATTGTACTTTATTATATAAATTAGTTATTACTTGTCTGAAGACACAAAATAATAAAAAAAATGATAAATAATAAATA